TTTCAGTTAATGATTATTTTATTTTTGGTAATGACATTTTTTTTAATGGTTTTAGTTTAAGTTACAGTTTTAGTTAACTAAAATAACCCTGCTTTGAATACCTGGTTCAGTAAATCAGCATCATGTCAAATACACCTGACTTCACTCATAAAGAAGAACATATTTTCACTCATTTCAGTCACCTCTAGATCACTGAATCAAATCCAAGGTAACTAAACCTCCTTAAAGCGGTGGACACTCTTACCTTCTGTGACACTGATGCTGAGCGTTTGATGGAGGCCCGTTTGATGGAGCCACTGGCGCTTCTACCTCCCCGCTCCATGTGTCCGGTTCACTCTGCACTTCAGAGACTCATGACCGTGTCGGACCCTCTAAGACCCTCTTTTGCTCTGTCTGTAAAGCGGTCCCTGCACTAGCAGCGCTCAAACTCATCTCCTGATGTTCACTCTTTGGGTTCTCCCGCCCTTAACTGACAAGATAGAAAGATGCATACGAGGATAAAACATCTCTCGATGACACGCTTGACACATAGACCCCATTTCCTCCGCTTGACAGCCTGTAATCAGGATTAATGCAGCCAGCTTTTGGGAGCTTGCGACTTTAATGGGGGAGAGATTTCATAAATGGTTATTGAAGGTAAATCTACTTTGGGACACTGTGGCCCAAAAAGGTTTTGAAAACATGCAAACTTTGTGAGGATGTGTCTCCTGGACTTTGAAGACTTGAGTTACGATAAGAAAGCAGGTATGCCTGCCCTAGACTAACTGTGAAATCTCTGACTTAGTGGTAAAGTTTGAAGAGAAAGTCTGTGAGGACCAAAGGTTTTGCAAACGGTAACAATATTTACCTGCTTAGATCATGGTGATCTTATTACAAATGTGCTAGTATTTTTTTCTTTTTGTTAAAGGTAAGAAAACCATGTTAATAGTCAGAGTTTAGCACTCTACAACCAAGGGATTATTTTAAATGAGGACATGAATTAAATGAATTTCTCTTTATGTCTCTTTTCAATCAAATAAAACCTGAAACAGATGTGCACCTTCCAGACCTTTCAAATCAATTACATTGAGAGGAACCTTACTGTATTAATGCTATGTGAACATTTGAAAAAGTAGAATATTGTCCTCTTGTGGTTACAGTTATTATTGCATGTGTGTTCAGAGTAACACTTTATATCACAATATCCATGTTACACATATTCTGGATTAATTACATAATAATATACCATGTAACATATAACATAATAATATATTATAACAATTTTGTAAATAATATATAAATGTTAAATTATTATTATTGTTATTTACAGTACATGTATATATAAATAAAAGTATCATGCACTGTAAATATATGTTATTTTAGTATAATTGAGATACCATTATAGTTTTTACTTTGAATCAGTTTTTTAATATATTTTCTGTTTTCATTTTAAAATCTTAAAAGTCTTAGTCTTAAGTCTTAGTAATTTTGTTGTGTGTTTTTGTCATGTCATATTTTTATACATGTCTATAAATAGTTTTTTATTGACTTCAGTTTTATTTTTAGTTATTTAGTACAAGTTAAATTAAAATGAGAAATTAAATAGTTTAATTCATTTAAGATTTATTTTGTTTCAAGTAACGAATTTTTTTATGATTTTAGTTTTAATTTCAGTTTTTTGTATATGTGCACACACACACACACACACACACACACACACACACACACACACACACAATGATTTTATATATAAAATTTTTGTTCTTGTTTCTCAGTGTATTCATTAATTTCCTATTTTGTTTGCTACATTGGCTGAAGATGTCAATATAACAAGTGCATGCCAACCTGGTGAACAAACACCCAGCTCCTCATCTCATTATAAGAGGATGAAAAGTAAAGTAATCCATGTTAAGTCAAGAACATCATAGCTGATGTGAATAGAGCTACTGTGTGTCTGCTTCATCCAAAGTAGAAAAAGACTTATGTCATGTAGGTCAGATCTGGAACCCTCGTTAAAATTAAAAGTTTCTAGTATTACATAAGAGTTGCAACCCCCTTTTTGTTTTGTCATTGTTATGTTGTTCCCCGTTCTTTTGTAAATACTGTAAATACTATCTCTCCACCTTTCACTGAGCACTGCACAATTTAGAACAATAAATAGTTTGAGTGGAGTTTGCTTCTCTTTTATTTGCCTGCCAAGGTTCTTGTATATGTGCACACACACACACACACACACACACACACACACACACACACACACACAATGATTTTATATATAAAATTTTTGTTCTTGTTTCTCAGTGTATTCATTAATTTCCTATTTTGTTTGCTACATTGGCTGAAGATGTCAATATAACAAGTGCATGCCAACCTGGTGAACAAACACCCAGCTCCTCATCTCATTATAAGAGGATGAAAAGTAAAGTAATCCATGTTAAGTCAAGAACATCATAGCTGATGTGAATAGAGCTACTGTGTGTCTGCTTCATCCAAAGTAGAAAAAGACTTATGTCATGTAGGTCAGATCTGGAACCCTCGTTAAAATTAAAAGTTTCTAGTATTACATAAGAGTTGCAACCCACTGATGGCTTGATTTTGTATTATTTATGAGGCTTTGTGCTTTCTAAAATGACAATATCATAATTCATAAAAACCAATCCAAAAAATGGCTTCATGCACGAGGGGATTTAAAACAAGCCAGGACAAACACTGATTTGTTTACAAGCTAAAATAAAAACATCTACTAATTCCTCCAACACTTTTGATTAAATGCCACAGATGAGTGCATTTGCTAATTGAATCCCTGACATACAATAAACTCACAACAATAACATTTCAAGTACCTACAGGTGAGTCTATAGCGTACGTAAACGCAAGACATAAACACTCTTACCGATGCTGAATTCTGTGAGCTTCACAACAGATGTCATTGTGCTCTAAACAATGAAGGTTCTCCTCAAACAGAAGTGCTTGCCTTCCATGAAACGATACTCAAAGTGTTTCCATTGCTTTAAGAACAGATAATGCATAATTTCTCCTTGTAAGCAGACACAAATGAGCTTTATGGGCACAGATGGCTCAGGCGCACATTCTAATTCCCTACAACTCACGAGCCTGTTGTGGTGACCAAAGCGCTCCACAAAACCCTGAGAGCTCCCATATACAGCATGCAGCTGACACCAAACTGTACTGCCTTTTTATCACTATTTTGTAGTATAAACAAATCTAAAAAAGCATGCTGCTCCTGTGAAAGCTTGGGTTTGGTATTTGAAATAGGTAATGTATTTACACTACACCTTTTTTATATATATAAAATGTCTAGTTCCTTTGACCAGTCATTGCTGTCCTGAACAGATAAATATCAGAATGCATATGAGCCTGAGTGTATTATACACAGCCACCGTGTATGTAGGAATATATGCAGGACTGAGTCTAAATAAGTGAGAATATCTGAAATGTGAAGCCAAATCAGTGAAGCAGCCGAGGGTTTGCACATGATCTCCCCTCTCAGGAATGTGCTGAAACCCAATCCATCGTCTGAAGGATTTCCATACACTAACATTACCTAGAAAGCTCAGCAGACCTTAATTGGCAATGCAGGATTATGAGCATGAACATTATTTCATCTGTGAAATAATGGTGGGGATCATATCAAGTGACATATCCAATTTCAAGACTGCAGACTGATGAGTTGTTTTATATAAAACTAATGCACAAGATTACCGTATTTTAGAAATAACCATGCCAGACAGACAGATAGACAGACAGCCAGATCATTCTCCGAACTCTTTAGTTTTGAGTTGTAATATATTTCTTACCACTAGATAGCGCTCACACAGCATTGTTTCTCACATATCTGACATATTCTAACTAGGAGCTGGCATGAACTTTCACTTCCTGGTCTCTTTGTCTGCCTGATTTGCATAAGAGACAAGTTTTAGGTCAACAGTGCTGGCTACTGATGATACTAATTTGCTTCCTGAACATCTCCTCCTGTTGTACTTCTTGTCAACAGATACTTGTGTTAGGCAACAGTATGAAAATGACTCATATGTTTTCAAGCAATTACATCAGGTATCTTTACTGCCTGAACCAATTATCACATGCATCTTGCAGGTGGTCACGTCCATGATTCAACATAACCTCTCTATTGACAAGGCCAACTGCAGAGGGTCACATACAAGGTTTCTAGGAACTGTCTGATGGATTCATCAGACCTATTCAAAAGCTCACATTTAGGTCTGTTAACCTTTCTGAATCATTGCTTGGTCCACATGGAAAAAATCAATCCAACCAGACACCAGAACCATCAAGCTGACTAAACAAACATGCGCAGACACGGAGTTCAGTGAGTCGTGCTGTAGATGGCCAACAGCTGTCATGAATGCATTGTTTTGTTTTCTACTTGTTAATTTCCAAATATTTTTGCCCTGACATGTTTCCAAAAAGAAGGAAAATATAGTAAACAGCTGGCCAGCAGGTTAAAACCTCCCAAATTAGTTCCATATGTGCTACTCTATGGAAAACACTTCTTGGAAATCTATTACAAGGCCAGTTTAGCAGATTTCAACCTCCTTTAAGTCAAAAGGAAGAGAATAAAAGAAGTGGGTTCAAAGAAAATGTTGAAGAGTAACTTTACAGTCAGTATATTACCAGCGTCAAGGGATATTTGTTCCCGTGTAGTCAGATTACAGGCAGCTACGCATTGCAGAGATGAATAATGCAGCAGGTGTCTGTCCTACCTGGAAGCTGATGGCCCCACCTGGTTGCTATAGAGACAGACAACAGCCCCAGCAGGCACAAAGGTGTGCGTTTCTGCTCTTTACTCTCCCCACGTGTGTTTGGAGGAGGGGAAGGTGGGAACTTGATGGACACGAATGGTGGATCACGTACACCTCGTGATCTGAGAGAATAATCTCAGAGAAGGTACAAGAGATGGACAGGTGGGACCATTCATGTTTGGGTCTTTCAAAATTCATGCCATCCTGCAAAAAGGGAAACACAGGCTTGACAAGCACCAGAGAGAAAGGAAAACTTTACAGAGAGCTGATAGCAGGGCATGCCAAGGCATGTCGATTTCTCCCAGCAGAGCTTCTAGAAACAGGCAGATTTGAACCTGTGGCTCTAGTTCAACTAGTCAATCTTGTATGAAATACAGCAGAACGTACTGGGTATGTCAAAACAGACTGTTACGAACTTTAGAATCACTAATCTAGTGCATTACACTTTGTTTTTATTTCTTTTCATTTCCTCATAAAAAAGAAGAAAAAAAAAAACTCTTTGTGCTTAAAGTACACAATTGATCTTTTTACCGACAGTCATAACAAAAGTCACAGTATCACATGCAGTGAGGGACACACCCGTTAATTACCACACCACTGCATGCTTTCAGTGTGAGACCATCACAGGCACGTGCCTCTCCTGATCACTGTACACCTTCAGGGAAACATCACTCACAGTTGGTGAAATTGAAGCCAGTGGCCTTTAGTTGGCTTTCTTGAGACCTGGAATTAAGAGGTTGATTTTATGCAAACTATAATGGCATTAAATATCCTCTATACCATATTTTGCATTTATTCAATGCATTTAACATCTTTTGACATTAGAGCGTTTTCATTTCTGGAACCATATTCAACTTGTTTTAAAGGATTCCAACAGTTTACCAAAGAAATGCTTTAAAAATTTGAAATGAATGAATATTTTGTGAACATTTAATCATCAAATAAATGATTGTCACTGTATATTTATCTGCCTATTGAGTTTTTTTTTTTTAGATTATAGAACAGTGTTTTGGTTTAGGATAGGGTTGAAGGGATCAAACATATGTATATTATAGTGAAAATGTAATACAAATACATTTATAATTCTAAAGAATTTCTAAAGATTATTTACATTTCTAAAGCTGCCCATATGTAAATACTTTTTCACCTTTTAGATGCAGTCACTACTTTCATATTGTATGTTTTGCATATCAAAACATACAAAAAAATGCATGTCTAAACATGTATAAATATCTATAAATACTAATGAGATCAGGTTTGAATATATAAGGCTTTTTCAAATATTTCATGAACTTTTTCCTCACTGGAACAGAAAAGGACATATTTTGATGTTCATACTACATTAAACAAAAACCTATGTGCTTTGTGCAACTACTGTAGGAGCTGTCAAACACCAAAAAAGAAAAAAACTTGGTCTAAGAAAACAGCAGTCTAATTTAATTATTAATTGGCTCATTTAATGTTTCGCCAATTGACGCCAAACAGAGCATGTGAAATCAAGTTCTATAATACGAGTCGTTAAGAGACTTTTAAAATGAATCACGACACTGGTGAACTATCTACTATATTATAAAGAAACATTTATATGTTGCTAGAAAATTTAGAAAATATATATTATGAATGCTCTTTAAATGGAGTAAGATGGTTTGCAATAGGCTAATCTATTAGCAACGGCTAGCTCTGCATGTTAACCCACCCTGCTGTGCTCAGTGCATCAGTACTGTTGTTTATGGTTTAGACTTGCACACATTTCTCAAGGCATGTGGAAAGCATTAGGATTTACCACAGTTTTCATGTCATGTCATCAGGACACAAAACATTACTGATGGAGAGGATTTCATTAATTTAAGGATGGAGTGATGGGAACGTTTTGTCAACGGTTAGCGCTGAATGATACAAAACAGTGTCTACTGGAACACAGATGTGAAATACAAGCCTTTCACAAGTGGGTCACAGCCACCAAATAGCATTTTTGCCCTTTTCCTACAAGAAAAAGATTTCTGTTTCTATAGCACAGATGGGTCTCATAATGAACCATTTTACTCGAATTAAACCAGTCTTTCCACATAGTTGTGTTTGTGTAAGTACTATTAGTGCGAAGACTCCCATTTTAATTGTCAGATGTTCAAAACAGTGGTTGTGTTGACAGAGCGCAACTCAGCAAGCCCTAACAAAGCAGTAAAAAAACAACAGTAATAAGGATTACAGCTTGTTTCCTGTGTGGAATTGTGGGGGCTGGGACGGGTGGGAAGGAGTGAACATGAGAGACAGACACGGAGAGGTGTCATATCACTCTCATGAGAGACCTTATGTAATTACACAGGATGTTTTGGGTAAACATACTGTATGAATTGTGCAGTTTCCATGCTGATCCTGGTGTTTTCCTGCTTTTTATTAGAAGACTTTCTTCTGATACGCTCTGTGTCTGTGAATATTCACACAATATCCCTTTCAATGCAACTCAAGATGTCCTATATGATTTATGATGATGCCCTTGCATCATCATGACAAAGTCGGCCCACTGCTATCCATTTAACATAATTTGGCATTGACGAGTTTTATAAAGCCTATGAAATCTTGCAATGATGCTGCCAAGTAAAACATACTTCCCGCTCAGCTTGTCAGATGCTAGATTTTTACATTTTCTGAAGAAAACAACCAACAAAACCCAAGTCTCCATGATATTCTACACTCTAAAAACTGCTGGGTTAAAAACAACCAAATTTGGGTTATTTTGGCAAACCAGCGCTGGGTCAAAAAGGGATGAACAAGTTGGGTTATAATGTTTGACCCAGCATGCTGGGTTACTTTTTTATGGTTTAAAATTACTACACTGCTGGGCTAAAATGAACCCAAATTGAGCTAGACATTAAACCTACAAATCTTGTTCATTTTAAAATCACTTTTACACACACAGAATGACTATCAAAAGGTATTTATTTAAAACAAGAGAAAACAGTCAAAAGTAACATGCATATAAGAAATGCAGAAAAGTATGGCATTAACAGCTACAGAGTTTATAAATGAAGCATTGAACATTTGTTGAATATAACTTTTAAAGGGGTCATATGATGCGATTTCAATTTTTCCTTTCTCTTTGGAGTGTTACAAGCTCTTGGTGCATAAAGAAGATCTGTAAAGTTGCAAAGACTAAAGTCTCAAATCCAAAGAGATATTCTTTTATAAAAGTTAAGACTTGTCCATGCCCTTCTAAAACGCCTCGTTTAAACACGACCCCACATGTCTACGTCACTGTGTGGGAAGATTTGCATAACGCCGCCCAAATGTTCACGCAAAGAAGGAAGGCGCAACTTTTATTCTCGCGGTTGCCACCGC